CCTTTTCCCCCCGGGGAACGCCGTCTGGGCGCGAAAACGAGCACAAGCGTCACGCGTGGGAAGATTAAGGAGGTACGGGACCGTACATTAAACCACCGCATTGAAGATCGACCGCAGGGCTGGGGGGGCGCGCCGGCAATCTATTACACTTTGGCGGTTCATCCCAAACCCAGCAAGGCCTCTCGGGCCGTGCGAAGGGATCTCGACTTGATCGGCCAATGAGGCTCTCGGATCTTGCAAGTTATCCCTGCCAGCGGGGCTGCTTCAGCCACACTTGGAGAGCCACTGTTCTTTTTTTGTTCGCTGTAATTGAGTTGTCATGCCAAGAAACGTGACTCGAGCAAGGAGCTTCATCTGAAGTGGTTTTTTTTTCCTTTTCTCTTAATCGACCCGGCGACTTTTTTAGACTTGAATGATCGGAAACAAGGGCTTTGTTCAGACGGTGCCACGGCTCGACAGGTTGGGGGCCTCTCTTATTGCGGTAGGGCTTGGTTGATCACGATGATTAACTCGCTCAATTTGTGTGAGGCAGATCCGCCTCACTTTCAATGGGAGCGGGTACTGCTTCCTGTCCTGCCTCAACGCAATGGACCGCCCACAAAGGTGCTCACTTTGCTCTTTTCGTTGAATGCGTCTTGACTCTGTTGTTTTCTTGGCCAGCTTGGCAGCTGAACGAGACGGATCAGGCGGTATAGCTCTCCTATGGTTATTCTCAACTGATAAATGCACTGAAGGCTATGTTCAACTAGGTAAAGCTTGTGCGGCATGCGGGATGCCGCCGTTTCTTGGGTACTGCGCTGTTGAATTCAACGGTAACATTGGACTTGGCGTCCTGTCAACCGGCCCGAGTAAAGTTGTTGCCCATGCCCCCAAACGGGGGCGCTGGTATTTGGGAGGGGGACCCTTGTTGAAAAGAAGTCTTATTCGTGGGTGAGTAGATGAAATCCGTCTTAATGTTATTGCTTTTTGGGGGCCTTGGGTATGGATCGGGCTGTTGATGAGACCTACTTCGCTTGTTACACAGCCTTTGGGCGGCGTGCTCACATTTCCTTCGTGGCTCCGAAAAGGGCCGTGAGCTCCTACTGAATCGAAATTAGTCGAGTGGTAGCAGACGATGACCAACAAGGTAAGCTGCTTCGTAATAATCAAGACTGGTTTGTGGCATTTTGCAGTTGAGCGACGTAAAGAAGGAGCGACGATTCGTCCGGTTACTGTCAAATAACAGTCAAAAAGGTATGGCCACAGGCACAGTTAGAAGCAAAGAAGGACAAGTGTGATGAAGCCAAACCACACAACCCTTTCCAAATTAAAATGTCAATGAAAATTGATAATGATTTCGCCCAGCCTTTGCCCATCCTGTGCCGTTCATAACTCAGGGTATTTGGGGGGTTGTTGCATATGCGTTCCTAATCAGAGAGGTGATTTGAAGCCAGAGATGGAGACGGCCTCAGCTGTCAAAATTCAGAATGCTCCAATGAAGAGAAGGAAAGACGCGAAGGGGCCAAGGCTAGATGTCCTCTCTGTAATGTTCAAACCATGTCCAGACCGTCAATAATAGCAATGGATGTTGACCATTCCAACAGCCAGGCTTGCAAGATAACGACCAGCCTATACAAACGGCTTCCACTGCTCCTCACACCAGTCCCAAAACCTCGCAGCATACCCCAACCCGCCCTCAGCCTCAGGCTTCATAGCGTTGAGAAGGTCCTTCCTCGGACAATCCTCATCCGCCCGAATCCGGCCAAAGGGAATGACATAACACCCCGACGTCTCCAACGACACCTCCGGCGACAACCCAGCATACAGCTCCGTGCACCCGCCCAGCTTGGTCTCGTACATCAGCGGCCCGATCAGCATCATGACCCACCCCGGCGTCCCCGCGTACGATCCCGCCCTGATGTTCCCCGGATTCTGCGCCACGCTGACGATGCCGTCAGCCCTGTACCTCACTGCCATCTCGCGCCCGAGCATCCAGTTCCCGAGCTTCGAGACGGCGTAGTTCTGCACGAGGTCCGGGGTGCCTGTTGCCAGGGTGTCGAAGTCGATGCCGTTGGTGGGGGTGCCGCCTTCGCCGAGGAAGCTGGATGTCCAGACTACGCGCACCGAGCCCGTGGGAGCGGCTGTGGCGGCTGCGCGGAGGTGGGGGATGAGGAGGTGCGTGAAGAGCTGTGCGGCGATGCAGTGCATTCCGACCATGGCCTGGAAGCCCTGTACTGTTGTCGCGCCGGGTTTGACGCCGTAGCCGCCGGTGCCGGCGTTGTTCCAGAGGACGTCGAGCTTTGATTCCTGCTGCGCGAAGGATGCAGCGGCTGACTTTACGCTTTCGAGGTCATTGAGGTCGAAGAGGAGTATCTTGATACGCCCCGGGGTTTTGGGGGCTGGGGATGCGGTGGTGATTGTCTCGATGGCCTTCTCGGCTCGTTCCTGTCGTAGGTGGTTAGTGTCAAGAAACAATGGAGCGGGAGTTGATGATGCGACGGGCAGATGCCGACGAGCCCCCTGGTTTGGGTGTCGAAACCAACCTTGGATCTTGACGCCATGTAGATGGTGGCGCCCGTGGTGTAAAGCATCTTCACAAGCTCGAAGCCGACACCCGCGTTGCCCCCGGTGACGATGAAGACGCGGCCATCTTGCGGTGGGATGTTGTCCTCGGTGAACGTGGGCGCTGGCGGAAACCACTGTGATCGCAAGTTGCGCAGAGAAGCGAGCACCATGTTGCTGGGGGCTCGTTTATGTTGACGGTCGCTATGGATTGGAAAGTGTAGACAGTGAGAGACGACTCATTTGTTCAGAAATCTGTGAGAAAGAGGGAGGGGGCGGCGGAAGATAAAGGACCATTTCCGTGTGTGCATCGCGCAGCATTTCCTTTGATGGCAATCTCCACCAGATTGCGGGCAACGTCGATTCCCATCCTTCAGATCAGATTGTTGGTCGAGAGAGGGACGCGCCAGCCAACCCCGCCAATCTAGACAAAAGTGCCAGGTTAGATCCAACAAGCGTGCTTACCTTGCATGACTTCCTGCATCTATCCCCTGTCAGTTTGCTATCTAGCCATCTGCTAGACAACCAAAGTCCCATATATTAGATGACTCAAGTCCGCGCGGAGTTTGGGCGGATTTGTCTGGAAAAACAGATGCAGGTTGTGAGAATCATGTTTCTTTCAATCGTAAAAGCCGCTTTTGATTCCGCCTTCTACATCAATCTCATCAAGCTGAGCCGATTCCAAACCACGCCGCACTCCAAATAAATTGTTCTCATCACAAGCCAGCAGCCAGGGTATATCCTCCATCCACAGCAAGCGTTTGTCCGTTCAGGTACTGATTGCACGCAAAGTACAGCACTGTAGCCGCCATATCCTCATCCTTGCCCGGGCGTTGCGCCGGCACCTTCTCCGCGTACTTCTCCTTGGGGATCTCGCTCTTCTGCTGGTCGTCGGATGGCTTCTTGGTGGTCATCTCCGAGGGAAAGACACCCGGTGCGATGCTGTTGATGCGGATCTTGAGGCCGTTGGAGGCCACCTCCTCGGCGAGCATGCGGTTGACGTGGATGGTGGCGGCCTTGGATGCGTTGTAGGAGAAGTGATGCTGCGACTTCTTAATCATGCCGCTGATGCTGCTGATGTTGATGATGGTGGACGACCAGCCCTGCTGCACCTCGGTGGCCTTCTGCAACAGGGGCAGGAAAGAGGCAGCGACGTAGTAGACCGCGGCGACGTTCGTCTTGTAGACCTCGGTCCAGTCCTCAAAGTCGGCCTTGTCACTCTCGAAGAGGGACTTCTTCATATCGTGAGCATCTTCGCTCTCGACCTCGAAGGGCGCGCTGGAGACGCCGGCGTTGTTGACGAGGATGTCGAGGACCTTTTCGCGGGATGTGATTTCCTGGACGAGCATCTCAATGTCATCCTTCTTGGTGACATCAGCCTGGATGGGGATGATCTGGCCGGCGATGTTCTTGCCGTAGGTCTCGACGGTGTTGGTGAGCTTCTCGCGGTTGCGGGAGGTGATGTAAACTTTTGCGCCGTTGGCGGCGAGGGCCTGCGTTGCCATCAGACCGATGCCGGTGCCACCGCCGGTGACGAGGGCGACTTTGCCGGTGAGGTCGAAGAGGTGGCTGCGGGTGAAAAGGTCGTTACCCTCTGGGCCGGCGGTCTTTTGAGACGACATTCTGGTTTGGTTGTGCTGGAGTGGGTTTGGGCGAAGTGCTGCGTTGCGCGGTGCTTTTCTCGAATATTCCAAGGTAGTACAAGTGGTGATGGATCTGGAAAAGGACAGCGAAGAAGATGGGGTGAGGTTGTTGATGTTGCTGTTATATCTCGCGGCGAGGCGGAGGCGGCACGAAAGAGATGATCTCATCGCTGTCTAAGGGCGCCAATTGAGGCAGGCGAGCGTGCAGCAGGTCGCATGTTGGACGCATTGGCGAAGGCAGGAGCTCATGGCACTTCTTGTAGCTTCCCCCCGCCATCGGCGTTCGCCCTGGGTCATCGAAGGCGTGCGCGGGCTACGTATCCGTGAGGTGAGAGCTGAGGTCGGATGAGGTCAGTCGATGTTCCATGACGACACGGCTTCGCAATGGATCCCTGTGCCATTGGCGTCCCGTCGTTAGTGCCTGTCGCGGAGAGAAACATCCGCTGAACGTTCGGACGCGGGGGCTAGACCAGCGCTGGTGGGGGCGCTGTAGCTTCTTCCATTGGCTGATGGTGAGTAGAGCTGCTGCACGTAACCGCAACGGCGCTATCACTGAGGTACCCCGCGGGTTTGCCCTGGAGCTGTCGCCGGAACTCTAAGTCAGCCGCCAGGTACGTATCTTTGATCACAACACCATTGTGAGCATCACCATTTATTTTATGAAATCGTAAAACTCATTGAATCTCAGTAAGATTGGCTTTCTAGTAGAGATATCGATTGAAAACGACAACGACGAGGGCGATGACATTAGAGAAATGAAAAACACCGCATCAGATGCAGTTGCCATACCGCATTCAAAGCAGGTGGTCACAGAGATTACGCGTATTTGAGCTCCTCAAGGCGTTGATCGCACCACTTCTCTAGCTTCTTCACCTCCTCGTCGTCGCTATCATAGCCGTCCCGTTCTTCCCTCATCATGATATCAACACAAACATTCATAGCGTCCTCGCCACAACAAAGCGGGCAGAGAAAATAGCTTCCACCATTGTCAGGCCAACAAGCCCCGAACCTGTGGCTGTCCTGAATCTTCCAGCCGTATCTGCTTGCTGTGTACATCCAGCGGCAGCCGTTGCAAGTCCAGCAATCCCCCTGTTCCATAAATGCAATAATGTGTCTGACCTCGACGTCGCACCAGATTCCAGAAAGCTGGTCCTCTTCTTCAGGAATAGAGCTAAGTTCGATCAAAATTTCGTTCTCTGGGGTGACTTCAGGTATTCTCCATGGACGGGGCTCTTCCTCGCCTTCCTCCATCTTCTCATAGCCGTCTTTTTGGTAGGGATTGTAAAGATGATGATCGTAGGCCCAGGTGCATTTGAGTTCTCCACATGTATCCCAATCGGTTATCTCGACGCAAACGAGGAGAGATCGGCCGTCGGTCTCGCGAACCGAGACTGGCTGCAGAAGAGCACAGTAGTCATCAGGTGCAAATTCAACAATCTCGATGATTTCGAGCCACAGCTCCAGGGGCAACTGTGTGCCTTTGCAGGATGTGATGCAGGCGGGCGACTTTTTCACGAGCGACCTGACGTAGCTCGCGGACCACTGGTTACGTTCGAGCAGCAAAAGTGGGAGCCGATCCGAGATGTCCGCGACCCTAGATTGGGTGACTGGCTTCAGAGTGACTGGCGGCATCGTTGAAGAGAATGTGTGGTATGGTTCGCGCGCTCTGGTGTGGATGGCGAGCGTTTGTGTCGTGACAAAAGAGTCAAAATTCCATTTTCGAGAGTTTTTAAAATCACCGTAATCAGGACTATCCAGGTTCAAACGACCCTGCCGAAGCGCCTCGCTCGAAAAGTATGGATGCAGTATGCCGGCGTCGAAAACAGCTCCGGTTCATGGAAATTTTATTTCGCTGAAGATCCGGCTACAATGTCAGGCGCGGCTGTAAGTCATACTGTGCTTGTTCCCGATGCCAATCCTATTGAGACCGCCTAATTCTCCTGTGTTTAGACGACTAAAGTTCCCTGTGTGCCGGGTCACTCTGACAGGGACGACGATAACAGACAACGACAGCAGACGACGACGACAATAGAAATAATAGCAGTAACGACAGCAGTAACGATAATGGCGACTTTACCACAAACGACGGTAGCAAGGACAGGAAACGTAGTCGCTGTAGCACAGGAAACATAGGGAACTAAACTTCCTATCTTTCATTGCTTCTGAAATCCTGCCTGAAGACTTTCTCTTAGTGTACAATCTGTTGTTGTGGCATGATCACCCATTGCCACCCTTATAGCGCGCCTTGCGGCACCAGAATCCGATGCTAATACACTGGGCGCTTCTTGCCGCGGATTGATAGGAGCAGCAGAACAACTCAAATTTGTCAGGTCCTTCCCTGGGTTTTCTCCGACACCAAAAGCGCTACCCAACCCTTTCGGCGTTAGATACGAACGTCTGTCGACTATTTAACACCATACTTCATCATTTCGACCGACCTCGATTCTTGCTCCATCATAGGTGCTGTCCCAACTTTCAGACTGTCAATTCTGTTCCATCAGCTCTTTAGCTTTGCAGGCACCCATCAGCGAATCACGAGATTTTCATGTCCACGACTAGGCCCCTCGCCTGTGTGTTTCGGTGCTATTTCGTACGTTTCTGACGTCGCAACTGTTCCAGACGACTTTTTCCTTTTTGCTCCTTTGTTGACCGTATATTTCAGCCACGAACCCTCTAGCCAGTGGCAAGCATGGCTTCCACCGAAGATGAATACATTCCTGGCGATCGCGACGCACTCTACTCCCCGGGCCGTTCTTTGGTCCTTACTCCCCATCAGGCGCCCCCGCCGTACGGCCATATGTACCCAAAGCCACACGATCTACGACCTGCTGACATCAGCGCTCCCCGCAAGGTAAGTAAACTTATTAAGTTTAATTAATTAATTAATTAAGTATAAAGTTATTACTAGTTAATTAAGTTAAGTTTAAGCTTTAAACTTAATTAATTACTTTAACTCTTTTAATAAAGATTATAATATAAATTAAATGAATATTCTACTACTAAATATCTTTATTTTTTTTTATTTTTTTTTATTTACTTTCTATTTCTAATAGAACTCTTCTTAATAAAAAATAAATTACTCCTTTTTACTTATTTAGTTTTTTTTTTTTTTTTTAAATTAATATTATTATAATAAACTTAGTATAATATTCTCTAATTTCTTATTTTAGTTTAAATATTAAGTAATCCCCTTAGAAAGTTTAAAATCTACTTTTTAAGATCTTTTAGAGATCTATATTAAATTTATTATTTTATTACTATTATCCTCTATTTTTATTATTTATTAATATCTTTTAAATATATTATAAAAATAAAAATATTATTAATATTACTCTTTTTTCTATTTTATTTATCTTATACTAAATATTTATTATATTAGTAGTTCTCTATTTAATTTTTATATCTCTTTTAAATATTTTTAATTAACTTTTAAAATTTAGATTTATTATATTATAGTTTAAATAAAATAAAAACTATTTCTTATTTAATTATTTTTTATTTAAAAACCTTTTTAAAATTATAATAAATAATAAAATATATATATAAAAGTTAAAACTTTAGAGAAAAAGTATAAAAAAGAAAATAAGTTAGATAGAAAGCTATAGTTAGTATTTTATTCTCTATTAACTAAATAGTTAACTAAAAACTAATTATTAAACTTATTATTATTATAATTTTAAAAATAAATAGATTATTTTTAATATTAAAATAATTTTATTTATTTTAAAATATTTTAAAAAGAATTATATTAAAAAGATTAAAATATTATTTATTAGTTTAAAAAGCTTTAAAAAACTTAATAATATTTTATATAAGAGATAGTATTTAAATTTTATTAGTTTAATAAAGAATTATATAAAAAATATCTAAAAAGCTACTATTTACTTTATTATAGATATTAACTTTTTTTTTTTTTATAAAAACTTTATTTTTTAAAATATAATCTTTAGTATTAATATAAAGCTAGAAATATTATTATAATCTATTATATTAATAGTTTTTAAACTTAATAATATTTAGAAGTATTAAAAAGAAGTTATATAATAAGAACTTCTATATATTAGTTTTAAAATCTATTTAGCTTTTAATTTATAAATTTCTCTAAACTAATAAACTATTATAAATATTACTATATATTTTATTACTAAAAAGAAAAATCTCTAAATATATTTAATTACTATAAAAAAGTAATTTAAAATTTATAATAATATTAACTTTATAAATATTTTTAAAAAGGTTATTTAAAATTAAAATATTATAAACTAAATAAAAACTTTAATCTCTAATAATATAAACTTAAATAATATTTATATAATAAGTTTAATTCTTTAATTTAATTTCTCTATAAAAAAGAAGTAAAATACTTAAATTAAAAAGATTTATTATTTTAAATATATTTTTAACTTTATATTAAAAGCTTTTTTATTTAGTAAAAACTTTAAAAACTTTAAAAGATAGTTAGATATATATATTCTTTTATAATAAAATAAAGCTAATCTTAAATATTAAAAAAAAACTAACTTTATTAATAAATTTTATAATATTATAAAGTTTATAAAAACTTTACTATAATATATATAAAAGTTTAAAAATCTATTTTATAAAATATTAGAAAAATTTAAGTAATCTAATAATATTTTTCTCTTTTAATAGATATTTAGAGAAATTAAACTAATCTAAAATAATATTATAAAATAAAACTTTATATACTTTATAATTAAATATATAATTTACTTTAAAAATAAAATAAATAGCTTCTATTTTTTTTTAAAATATTAAAGATTTTATATTAGTTTAAAATATCTTAACTTCTAATAACTAATTATAATTAATAGAGATTATAATAGTTTTAAAACTTATTTAGAAAATTATATTTTAAATATAAAGGTTTAAATAAAATAGCTTATATAATAGATTTTAAAAAGTAATTACTATTATAGAGTATTTTTTAAGTTATTTTAAAAAGTAGAAAACTTTCTATAATAATATTAATAATAAGAATTCTTAAGATTTTAAATTAAAAAAATTATAAATTTTTTTACAAAAAATATTTTAAAAATTTATTTAATTAGTATATTAGTAAATTTTATTATATATTTAAATATTATAACTATCTTAAAAATAGTTTAATAAGAGCTTTTTATTTATTTATATTTATTAAAAGTATATTAATAATATCTCTAACTTAGAAAAAATAAATAGTAGTAATTAGTAATATTTAAAAATTTCTATTAATAATAAATAGAAAAAGCTAAATAAATATTATACTTTAATAGAAGAATTACTTCTATATACTATTATTTTATTTTTCTATTTTAGTTTTAATATAAAATATATAAAAAAAACTAATAATTTTCTTATTAATAGGAATAAATATTTAATATTAAGTTAGCTTTAAAGAGATATTTTAATTAATAATATCCTTCTAAAGAAAAGAAAAATATAAGAAATATAAGTTAATATTTAAAACTTTATAATCTAAATAACTTTAAATAATAAGTTTAAATAAAAACTATTATATTTAAAGAAAATAAGAATAATAAAGAGCTAAATAAGTTAGAGAAGTATTTAGGTTTATAGAAATAAACTAACTATAATTTTATTAATTAGTAATTTATTTATAAAGAAGAATATCTTTATTTAAATAAGTTAGTATTAAGTATATTAGTAATACTTTTATAGTTATTTAATTATAAAAAAGTATTTAGTATTATATTTCTTATTTAGATTTTATAGAAGTTAGTAATAAAAATAGAAAAGCTAGAAATATTATAATATATAAAATAATAATATAAGAGGAGTATAATCTTATTATTTAGTAAATCTAAATAGCTTTACTTAGTAATTACTTATAATTAATTAGTAATTAATTAAGTATAGTATTACGATATAGTAATTAAGTTAAGTTTAAGCCTTAAACTTAATTAATTGCCTTAGGGTGGGTGCTGGCTGATATGGCGCTGAGCGACGACGAGAGCGTCCTCTCGAGAATCCGCCAGGTGTTCAAAGAAACCAATCGACCACACGGCTTCCGAGAGACAGCTCAGCTCGATCAATTCGCCCAGCTTCATGTCATCATCCTCAAGGCCATTCCAGGCAACCGCGGCCAAGGCGACTTTTCGGGCCCGGTGAATCTCTTGTGCAGGGTCACCAAAGCTTCTTCGGGACAAAGCTTGAGTGTTGGCGATTTGGCCTTCATCAAGGTCTTTGACCCTTTATTGTGGTGGAAGGATGTGAAGCTTCTGGACCGGTGTCTCAAGGTCACAACTCGGGCGGACATGGCCTTCTGCGACGAAGTCGGCGCATATTCCTTCTTGCAACAAAAGGGTCTTGCCGGGTTTCCGCATCTAGCTCCAGAGTTCTTCGGAAGCTGGACAGCAGCGGTGACGAGTATCAATCCCAAGTACGAAGGGCAAACTCGGCATGTGGGAGTACTTACTTTGGAGTACATTGATGGCATCCAACTAGACAAGCTTTTTACCCCCATGGAGAGACCTCGCGCATCTTCTGTCCAGCTTTACGAGGATACCGATACCCCTGCGTCCTTCAGGACCGATGAGGCAACCCGAATGGATGTGATGGCAAAGCTCCTTGGGGGAAACATGCAACAAGAGTTCGCGGGCATCACCCATGGGGACATTCACCCGAGGAGTGTCATAGTCTCCATGCGCAACGGCAACACCATTCTCGACTCGCCGCGGGTTGCCCTTGTCGGATGGCGGACATCAGTCGTCGACTCTATCGCCAGAGAACCGCAGGCAGCCTTTGCTTACTACTCCAAGCCGCCGCATCCTTGGAGAAGATACAATATCGTCAGACTTCGCCCCTTTCTTGGTTGGATTTCTCGGGACTGGCAAGCTTCCGCGCAGTACCCACGCCACTCCCCAAAGCTGAACAGATGGATGTTCGATGCCTTTGGCTCCTTGCACAACCCAGACAACCCGGACTTCCAGACTTGGGCAGAACAATGCATATTGGACAAAGCTTTCGGGGGCCTGATTGTCACCACCGACGCTGCCACTCCGTCGATCTAGCAGTTCGACAGAATCGACAAGACGTCGCGTGAGATATTACCCCGTCTCGTTAAAGACTATGGCCTGGAACGCACCTTGCGTGTCATGATGCGTGTCACGATTGCCGACTTCGAGAAAATAGCCATTCCCCCACTCACAGACAAACTCGAGAAGTCTTTGTCCCGTTTCGAACTCGTGGACAGCAAAGCCCTTCGCAAGCGAGCCATCACCCGCGGTCGAATTGATCATCCGCAAGCATGTGGAGAGAGGAGCACACCGTCTTTTAGACAATGCACCACGGACGGGTTTACCCTCGCCTGAACAGGTCCGTTTCAGCCTTGACGACGAGATCCTCCGAAGTGAAGTCAGGGACCAACTGGAAGCTCTCGTGTTGGTGTTCCGTGAGGACCCGAGAGCGGCCTTCCCGCCTGTCTTCGCCGACGAGGCAGCCCCAAAGCCTCCTTGCAAGAAGGAAATGGAAGAAGCTGCAGTCAGCCAGGCACCGGTTCAACGACATGGTCGTGGGACATATGCACAAGACGCTAGCCAAGGCCAAGAGATTCTCGGATCCCGGAGCGATCGTGGATGCTTCAAAGCTCGAAGAAGCCAGACTGAATGGCACATCTGTCATCGAGGGTGCCGTTGAGGACGTCGTCAAGAACCGCTCGGAACAAGTCTTGCAATCAGGAGACCCATCTTTGGAGCATTTTCAGAAGAGACTCTCGGCAAGGTCCACGAAAATGCGGATACTTCGTCCCATTGAGATGGCCGTCCGCAGCACATTTCAAGCTGACACTTCTGAGAAGGAGCGCCATCAAACTTCGGTGGGATCTGCATCAGAGTCGCACACTCTGTCCAGGGCCTTCGAGATCCTGGCCATCTAACCCGCTCAGGAGACTTCAGTGGCTTCAGAGAACATTGATTAAGGTGTTTCTCGTCGGTAAGTTACTCGCCTTCGCATGAAGCTTATGTTGTGCAACAAGCTGACATCTAAACTAGGTCCACTCAGGGATGAACCAATGCGGAATCGGTTGATCCACACAAGGCATCAGCAAGCAGCCGGGAATTCTTTGCTGCAACATGCGTGAAGAGATACGCGACCATGTCCTGCATCGGATGGATTTCAGTTGTTGTGAAGGTTTTGGTGGTTGGGTAAGGGGGCGGAGAGATTTCACGAGGGCTGCATCATGTCAGAATAGTTGTTTCGTAGATTGGGTCTGTATGCTTGCCAATTGGAATTCCTTGGTATTTCCTCAAGGCCTCTACTGTTTCTAAGCTGTAAGTGACTACAATTTCTGACAATTCGTTTACCTACCATACCTCCGTTGACGAGGTCAGTCTCTCCACAAGCCAAGTTGGCCTTTCTGACATAGCGCTGCGTAGGTTTCGAAGGGTTTTACTTCCAAATCTCACGCGTTGCGCAAGGCCTTCGAGACTCTGGCCATCGGTCCTGCTGTTTTGCACACTGGCAGCACTTTGCAGAGTCAACCAAAGACCTTGCCCCATAAGTTGATTGTCCCAGAAATTCGAGCTCATAAGTAAAGTAAGATCCGTTTCTACGACATGATCGTTGTGCGCTCGATTCTTCGAGACTATGTTGCGAGTAGTTTAAATGCTCAGGAAGCCCGAAGTATTCTCGACGAGACTGGGAAATCGCAAGGCCCTTTCCGCCATTTCCACGCCCAGGTTGTCAATGGTGCCATAGAGTACCGAGATCTCAACGGAAAAAGCCACGGAGACTTCGGAGTTGAAGGTTACGCAGAGATCGGATGCAATTGAGATGGAGACTTCGGAGGCTAAGGTGACAGAGGCTTCGAAGCAAAAGCGATTTTCCTTGCAGCTCAAAATCCCAAGACTCCGCATTCACTTAAACCCCAGTGGTGACCTTGGGTCCTCGGAACAGACATTTCCCCAAGGGCGAGTGACTCGTCTTCGTGTGAAGGTCATGGGGTACAATAAGGCTACGTTCACATCAGGGCCCGACCCCCGTCTCAGAAACATAAAATAACGCGGAGTCCGTTGGTTCACACAAGACCTTGGCGAGCAGACGAGAAGGAATTGCTGCAACATCCGCAGAGAAATCCGCAGACCATGTCTTGCATCGCACCAATCTCGGATGTTATGCAGTTTGAGAAGCTTTTAATGCTGGTTGGATCATGCCACAACATCGATCTTGTAGTTTGGATCTGTGTACCCCTGCTACGCTTGGCAGTCGGATTTATTTCAGACTTTGGAACTGTGAGATGGCTTCACATTTAAATGTGCCTTCGAATAGGTGTAACGATCATTGGGTTGTATCTATGACCTCCTCCTGCCCAACTACGCCGTATGTTATCCACCGTGTAAATCATCCAAGAAATATGCACGCAACTACGGATGGATTCGTTTTGACATATTGATAAATCCCGTATCGGGGTTTGGATAGTACTTCTCCACCATCTCAAACCCAAGAGATTGATACAGCGCAATAGCTGCCGTCATCGAATCCAACGTATCCAAGAGTGCCTCATTGTAGCCCTGGCAGTGGGCGATTCGAAGGGCTTCAGTGACCAGTGCCCTTGCAACATTTCGCCCTCTGGCCGCAGGGTACACGTACAGCCTCTTTAACTCGCAATATCGCGTATCAGCCCGTCGGTTGACTCTGAATTCGGGCTGTAGTTCGATTGGTCGCATGGCAATGCAACCAAGAACTTGTCCCGTGCATAAGTCATGGGCTAGCAATAAGGCACCCTTTGGCGAGGCATATTTTCCGGGTAGGGTGCTGAGTTCGGTTGAGAAATCCTGAAAAGTCAGGTCCATGTTCAGCCACTCTGTATAAGCGCAGAAACACCGGGCTACCAATTCCATGTCCGCCGGAGAAGTAGCATGTCGAATTGAGAAATTGGGTGTTGAAGAAGACGCCATTCTGGTCGTCAAAAAGTGATTTGGCTTTGAAACGAATGATAATTCAAGGAGAGTGCTCGGCTTCAGGGCTTGGGCCGGCATCAAACTCGATGGTACGTCCAAGAGATTTAAAATGTTACTTCCCACTGGCTACTGACGAGCACCTTCGGCGATAGGTCCTAGTCGCCGAGAATGACTCAGGGTTGGCCACACGAGAATTGTCACCGGTGTAGGCGGTCAGTCGGGGCAGAACTGGGTTGCCGGGCGGCGTTTACAATCGTCCCGGCACACCATTGATGCCTCTTTCTACGTGCAGATAGAGCACAATCCGAGCATCAAGGGGTAAATCAAGGGATTTCAACGCCCTGAAAGTCCCGGGTTTAGTTGCCACCATTGACATCTCGGCGAGCCCCTGACTGGCTTGGTAAGATGTCGACCAAAAGGGACCTCACGTCAAACATCGGGCTTGCGCATTTCCAGGGAAAGCTGAAACCCATAGCGTATGTCCTGTTCAACTTTTTATTTTCTTATGGGTAACGAGTAACATGTAATAAAGCTGCCGTAAATGTCATTCCCGGAAGGTCAAATGTCCAGGCGGCCAGCCATGCAAGGCCTGTGTACAACTAAACTGCGAAGACGAATGCACCTATCCCAAGCGTGATAGACAGATCAGGGTGAGTGAAAGGTACGACTTTCTTCCTGGCTCACTTTAAATTGCCATTTTGACGGCTATCAGCTATTTGAACTCGATATTGCACCAGAATTACACATTGCGAGCGCAAATCCAACCAGCCCAGCTTGAGGAAGGTGTCGCGCAGACGCCCTTGGCACCAGGCAATGATGATCATACATCTACGCCGCAAAGCGAGCCTAGCCAAAACCCAGTTCTTGATGATTTCCCGTGGTTCCAACACCAAAGTTCGTTCAATGTTCCTCTTCGTGTTGGAGAGGGTGCCGACACCGCATTCGCGACGAGGTTCCGCCAGTCCATCTCGCGAGTCTCTGTCAAACACCCACCTCGTTTCCAATACCCAAGCGAGACACAAATTGCCAGCTTATCTGCATCAGAAGTTTCGACCCCGACACCTACCAGAGCACGTTTCCTGGTTCAAGCAGCATTGGCCAATATCGACAAAATCTACCACATTGTGCAAAGAAGCTCGGTCTCGACACTCTTGGGTCGACTTTTCGACGCAAAAACACCGCTAGACATCCTGGGTCGATGCAAAGTCTTTGCTCTGCTCGCTTTAGGCGAACTATATACCAGCCACTGCAGGGCTTCTGATGGCGACTTTCCTGGCCTTCAACACTTCAGTCTTGCCTCCAAAGCCTATGGATGTCTCCTCGAACGTCCCTCAGTGGACAGCATTGAGACTGCTTTGCTTCTGGTCAGCAAGAATCCATCGACATTCTACGTTGCTGCTGACCGAAGTGTTTAGTGCTTGTACTCTTTATGCGTCAACAGGTGGCACTCGGCGTACTTTCTGGCCAGCTCCGCAATTCGCCATTGTGCGGTGATGGGCTTGCAGTTCAACCTTCCGGAGGCGCATGTCACGGACAGGACAACAAGAGAGCATCTGCGCAGACTATGGTGGACATCATACACTCTCGAACACATTTGCGCAGTCAACTGCGGCCAAATGATCTTGATTGAGGACGCTGAAATCGCAGTAGATTTCCCATCGAGCGAGGGCCTTTCAAAGGCAGACCACGAAGACTTCGAAGACCCGAGCTGTATGTGTGCCACAATTGAGCTTGTCAGATTGATGCGCAAGATAACCAGTTCGCTCTATGGCCGGAGAAACCATAGCGAACCTTTTTTGCAACGTGTTCAGGCCGGGTTGAGGGGCCTGAAGCACTGGTTTCAGAGCTTGCCTGGCCAATTACACATGCAACCAGAACCAAACAAGTCCGCCGAGCACGTCAAATCTTTACACTTGCTCTTTAACCAGGTACAGCTCCTATGAATGTAGCATGATCAGAGGTTCTGATAGTATTAGTGCGTGATCCTTGCCACCCGACCACTTCTACTCTACATGGCCCGACTACAACAACTGGTAGATCAGGTCGGCGTGGCGAGTGCGCCCCCAGATTCACCTGACATCGCTATTGCCCTAGTACAGGTATGTGTCAATTCGGCAAGACACTCCCACTCCATCCTAACCCAATCGTGGATCGATGGATCGTTCAAAACCTTCGACTATACTCGGACCTCGTGCCTGTTTTCCGTGGCCACCATTCATGCCGTTTCTAGCTTTTTGAAGGGTCCAGAAACCTCGAAAGCCCTAGATGACTTCGAATTAGCTCGCGAGTTGATGCGGGAGCTGGTCAAGTCTGGGAGTGTGGTTGCTGCGGAATTCTCCCAACACATTGAGGCAATTAAGGCAGACATTTACCATTTCTCATCAAAATACATGAGCACGGGCGGGACAGTGGTCGGACAAGCCAGCGGTAGCGATAGCTCTGCAGTCCAACCAGACACTCCACATGCTGGATTTGTCCCTCCCCCCAGCACGTTGGCAACACAACTGGTTTTGGTTGATCCCTCTCTGGAGGCATTCCTTTTGCAGAACGAGCCCGGCTTAGAGGGAGAGAGTTGCTTGCATCCGTCGTTCCTGGAGGATCTTTATTGGCCTGTCATGGATGTTGAATGATGCCAGATTCAGACACATTCCTCAGGTCATGCTATGTGCATCGCTACCATGTGATGTTGCGATCGTTGAGGGACGGCGGCTCCTGAATGAGTTTTAGCATCTGGGCGGATACCCCCATATTAACGGGAAGACCACGATGCATGAGATGAATTAAAGCCATCCCCTTTATAACTGCCCCTATTGTTTGTCGTCGTCTTTGTCGCCATCGTTGTCGTCGTCGTCACCGTTGGTATTACTACAACACTCAGTACTCCTATTATCGTATGATAACTATCCGTCCGAATAGCAAAGGCTTTCTGGATGAGTGAAGTGGTAAATGTCTAGTGCGATCTCTGGTAGTGAAATCTGTTCGTCATAATATTGCACATGCGTATCGGAATATTAAAGTCCACGCATAATTCTTTGGAAATGAAATGATACGAGATGAAAGACTGATAGCATCCCCTGTTTTTTGTTCCCCTCGGCCGATCGATCTGCGTATAACCAGGGTAGACTTTGTACTTCTACCACCCTGTCGGAAGTGCTATTTCAGTCGTTGTTTTCCGGCTTTCTTGGCGTACTCCGCCACCATGGAATATATTGGTCCGGCGCCATCTGATGGTAGCCGAGCCACGAACAGCAGATTTCGGCAATGTTCTAAATGTCCGAAACTGACCACCTAGGCCTTTTGGCTTTACAAATCTTGATGACGAACAATTTGGGCCACCAAGTCCAAGGCAATGGCGTTGCCTACTTGATACAGTAATATCCCGGAAGGCAGGATTAGACAAGCAGATCGTTCCCTGTTTCCTTGTTGTTGTCGCCTCAAAGCCATCCACTGTTCTTATCGCCTTGATGGCCGCCGGCGGCCTGCCTGTGAGAGGCCCTCTGCTCCAAACTAGTTCTCCGAGGAACCGTAATAATCCGCGGAAAGTTCCCGGCTCGATTTTATCACGCCGAAGGCCCTAATGTATCGGGTATGGTCGAACACAGGGACAGGACCATAACAGACTGTTCATCACACTGCGGCCCATAGATCTGAGCTCCGTTATCTAACTCACTACTTGAAGTCTCATTAGCAATCTCCAATTCACATCATCTCGAAGTACAAAACGCTCCGCTATGGCGTTACAGGTATTGGGGGGATGACACAATGCAAACACGCCCCTTCTGAGACTTCGGCCTGCTATACAAGGTAGTCTCACTCCAAACAGCACAATGCATACAGGACGGGTTGAAGAACAGGAAATCGGTGCCTCGCCACCACACACCGATCCTACACACTTTCCACCTGTTCGTTTTGTCTCGCCGGGAACTTTGCTAGGCTCGTTCCATTCCTGATATTTCCTTGATAGTTGAAGAAAGCTTTCATCGTCATTGTTGGACTTGTCTCCATCTTCAACAGCAACCTGGGGTCTTCCCTTCCCTCCAATGCAGCTGCCGAGATCGAGTCATACTTTGCCATCACCCAACATCAACACATGGTCTTGCTTAACTCTTTGTATCTTGTCGGCTACACACTCGGTCCGCTCGTCTTTGGCCCGTTGAGCGAGCACATTGGACGGCGACCAGTCCTCTCGGCGACGTACACCCTCTATCTGCTTTTCACAGTAGGCTGCGCTCTGTCTCCCACGTATGGTGTTCTCCTGCTGTTTCGTACCTTGAGCGGCATTGTTGCAGCGGCACCAAATGCCGTGTAGGGGCCCTCTTCGCCGACATATTCGACGATCCTACTCATCGAGGAAGGGCTATAGCGACTTTCATCGTCATCGCGACCATGGGACCAGCCATGGGCCCGGTAGTTTCCGGATGCACAGCTGACATCTCGTGGAGATTGTGCTTCTGGGTCGGCCTAGCCTTGGCGGGCATAACATGGCCGCTCGTGTTGTTCCTTCCGAAGACGTGCCAAAAAGTGCTGCAAAAGCGCCATCGAGACCACCGAAGAGAGTCAGGCCCAGTTCTTTCTCATATTTCTTTGACGAAGGAACTTTCTATGGTTTTTTCGAGACCTTTCTCTATGATGTTCAAGGAGCCAATTGTTCTGTTCACGTCTGTTTACCTTGGACTGGTCTACTCAATTCTGTATCTCTTTTTCCAAGCGTACCCGATCATCTTCGGAGGTAGGTTGAATGGCGAAAATCCACCGAACAGCTTGGTAACATTACCTGAAGACACATACAATCTCCCTCCCCGAGATGTCGGCTTGGCCTTCCTCCCAGGTAAGCAAACTTACCACCCAGTCAGCTCCTTGTCTCTCAAATCTTCAGTCTCATTAGGCGCAGTCGTGGCCTTCGTCATCTTCCTCCTTTTCGATGCGATCTTACTCCGGCAGAGAAAGAGGAAAACTGCATGGTCCCTGCAGGAACGATATGCCCGACTCCCTCTCGCTTGTGTGGGCGGCCCCTGGTATTTTCGCGTCTTGATTTCGTTCGCTGCGTTGAATTTGTACTGACACATGTATTCAGTGTCGTCGTTGCGCTATTCCGGCTCGGTTCTACCTCATCTCCCCCAACAAATCCCATCTTTTCTTCAATGGCAGACATTTTCTTCGGGGCGGGATACTTCTTCACCTTTTTCGCAATGCTTGGATACCTCACGGACGCATACAAACAGTTCTCTGCCTTAGCGCACGCAGCAGCGAGTACGACTCGCTCAATGGCTGGTGTCTGCCTACCATTCGCCGCAGTCTCAATGTACACGAACCTTGGAACGCGATGGGCCTGCTTCGTGCTGGGATTCGCTGCCCTTGCTGTATCTGTGATACCATTCCTTTTCATTTCTTACGACAAGGAGATCCGAAAGCGAAGCCCTTACTGTCAGAAAATCAGGAACGAGTCGGATGCTATGTGAATGATGGCTGCAAAGCTTTCTGTCTGACATCCTGATATCCGAAAGTTGGTTGACAGAGATAAATACTTCGGCGAACGGAGAAATGAACTAGAGAAGATGCAAATCGTCAAAGAGGGTAATGGTGAAGTAAGGTTTTGCAGGCGTTATCCTCTAGACGAGCTGAGAATTTTGCACGTGGTCAGCCGCCAGGACACTTTTCCTAAGGGCTCGTCTATAGTCTATATTGTTCGTCTTCTTGTTCATCGTCGTAGTCTTGATTTTCGTCTTCGTCGTCCCAAAAGTGGAAGTAGAGACAATAACAGGGAAAGAGGTAGAGATTGTGAGAGGAGGCCTCGTCATCAGGGTTCACACTTCGAAACTTGATTAAAACTACAACCTCGACTTGAAAGATCCAACCTTGAGTGTCTCTCCACCCCTTCACAACCGAAATAAAACTTTGTGTTCCAGATATTTCCCCTCCGCCTGTCCTGCATCTACGATTGCAACCCATCTGCTGTTCTAGCCTTCCGATTCTCATCCTAACATCTCGTCTGTAATCAACGACTCTCGTTCTTTTCAAACCCATGTTGCAATTGCACCTCACGCCTTGATCTCATCTCATTAACGCACTTTTCGGAACTTGCTATTACGACGTAATTCTGGGAGGGTGCGCCCTGCTACTTATCGGCTGTATCACGTTCATTCTTCCCATAAAACAGTCATCAAGAACCCCGACAGCTATCATCATCTTTCAAGCGGCTCTTTCAACCGAACAAAATATCGAGGAATAGCGACTTCAGAGCACCCTAAACGATGGCTTTCGACAATGATTCGGATGTCTACGAGGATCATGCAGACCTGTATCACTCTGGGAAGCGCCTCATTCTTACGCCGCATAAGTCACCTGCACCCTTCGGCTCGTCTTTTTACCCGGATCCGCCAAATTTGACGTCGAAACAAATGACTCCTACTGATGAGGAGAAAAGCTTTTCACGTACGCAACTAGTCTTCTCTGAGTCCAACGGTCCCCTCGACTTCGACGAGACAAAGCAAAATGACAAAAGCAGCCAGGTGCATTTGGAGATCCTCGACATGGTTGATGGTGGATATGGTGCTCAATACACCCCCGGGCCCCAGAAAGTCGTGTGCAAGGTGGTCAAGACGGCCTCAGCCTCTTCTGACGACAACGAGAACAAAGCCCTGGTGCTTGGACAGCTTGTCTTCTTGAAGGTTTACGATCCTTTGTTCTGGCCCCTGAAGGTTGATCTTTCCGAGTTCTGCTTCAAGGTCACCGTCCGAGCGGGTTTTGCTCAGAGCAACGAAGTCGGTGCCTACTCTCATCTCTTCAAAGCAGGTTTGACAGGCTTCCCACACCTGGCTCCTCAATACCACGGATGCTGGACCGTTTCTGCCACCAGCGCCGATCCTAAGCACGCGGGAAAAGTTCGGCATGTGGTTGCGCTGGCCTTATAGTATGTTGAGGGACGGTGTCTGAGTGATCTTTTCCAGCCAAGCGGGCCCTTTCGGGATCGCTTCCGATCCAGTTGGTCCAACCCACAGGAGCCGCCGACCTACATCTCAGCTGACGAAGGCACTCGTCTCAGCGTCATGGAAAAGCTCATGGATGGACTCATGTCGGAGGAATTCGCCGACGTGAACCACGGCAATTTTCACCCATCAAACATGATTATTTCATTGAAAAACGGCCTGACCACACTTGAACAGCCACGGATCGTCCAAGTCTCATACCGAAGATCCAAGGTGACAACTTTAGGACGGAATCCCTACAAGGCCTATCTCTACTTCGCGAAGAAGCCTCATCCGTTCATACGATTCAGCATGGACAGGCTTGCGCCTTTCTTTGGATGGATTCCCCCGTCATGGGAAGGCCAAAACCTCGGCCATGACACGCCTCTTTTCCTGTATCGGTGGTTGGCTGTCACGTTCGGCCCATTCGTCGATAATCCCACGTACACGTATCGTGGAAGTCCACCTGCTGATATGATAGTGGATGCCAAGGGTACTGTCAGTCAATACTCCATGTACTTGGAGAACAAGCGCCTTGAGGAGAAGAGGCACCTTGAGGAGAGCAAGCCCGGCGAATCGAACAAGCCTGACGAGAATTCGGAGGAGAAGAAGCCTCGAGAGGAGACCGGCTTGGCTGAGGAAGTGCTCTAGGCCGACTACGCACGTCAGATAAATTCAACTCTCCGCTCATCAGACTGTTAATCCGAGTTTGGTTCTTTGTCGCGATCTTTCACTGTGTCATCAAATTTCCCGTATTGTACCGATTTCTACACAATCTTGATTAATCACAATAAAAGTCCCCGGAAAATATTCGTCCAAAGTCCAGGTGATGTCTGTTGTCTTGCACACAAAACATGGGATACGTCGGAGGTCGGTATTCTTTAGCGCCGACCCCCGATCTTCCACGTGCCATGCGCCACACCAGCCACCGACGCCGACCACCGCGCCTCCGTCTCCAAATCCCCCAACCCAGCCCCAATCTTCAGCAACCAACATGCATTAACTTGCCAACGAACAAGGCCCGGAACGCTTCTTCATCCCCAAAAGTAACATTTCTGCCGCCGGAACCATGCAGAGCTCTTCAGCCGCACCTTCGCTCACGCCCAAGTTGGCCCCGGCGCCCTTCCTTCAGCGCTCGCTGGCAGCCCGACAACTCACTGAGGCGTTCCTCGCGTGAGCGTGGCAGCCCTACCATGCTCTGGTCGTCGGCCCATCCCTGTCCGCGCCGTCTTACACTCCCGCCCGCTGAAAGCTACTCCGACCGCCGGGAGCAGCGTGGCAGCCCAGCGCTACCCGTCCATCTTCGTCAATCCCTGCCCGCCCGCGAAGTAAGCACGGAGCTTGTGATGGCGAGGCCCCGATGGGCTTGTTCAGCTGATGTCGGGCATGGAAACTCTGAAGCGTATCGAGTCTCTTCGTTACGACAGCATGGAGCGCTGGTCCGAGGAGACTGGATTTAAAGTCCAGCGCTGCCTCTCGTTCCCCAACGTTTTTGGGAGAATGGCCCATCACCAATTCACTAGCACAGTGACAAGGCAAAACACCAATCAACAGAATCAGCCATCACGATAGACATGTCGACAACAGACGTACTCATCGTCGGCGCAGGTCCAACGGGCCTGACCCTCGCCCTCGAGCTCTCCGTCCAAAAAATCCCCTTCCGCATCATCGACAAACTCGAAGCTCCCTCGGACAAATCCCGTGCCCTGGCCGTGCAATGCCGCACGCAAGAGCTCCTCAACCGCCATCCCACCGTCGCCAAGGAAATGCTGGCAAACGGCGTCCAGGGCCCCGGCGTCAACATTCACTGCAACCAGAAGCACCTCATCACCGGCACGTTTGACGACCTCGGCTTCGACGACACTCAGTTCCCGCTGCCGATATGGATCCCGCAAGGCGACACCGAGGCGGCGCTGACGCGGCAGCTCGAAGATTACGGCGGCAAGGTTGAGCGGGGCATCACGGCGGAAGACATCGAGCAGGACGCCGACTCCACCACGGTCACGCTCGTCAAGGGCAGCGAGAAGGAGGTCCTCAAGGCCAAGTACATCGTCGGCTGCGACGGCGCGCACAGCGCCGTACGCAAGAGCACCGACCTTACATTTGAGGGTGCCCAGTACCCGCAGACGTTCATCCTCGCCGACATCAAGCTTGGAGGCCCGTATGACACCGAGAGAGTGTCGATGTACCTCGGCGGACGCATCATGGTCATCTTCCCTCTGAAGGACGGCGTCGTCCGCATTGTCGGCGAGCGGTCTACGTACAGCAAATACACTGGCGACCCGACTGTGCAGGAGATCAAGGAGTTCATTGAGGAGCTGGCCGGGGGCACGTGGGAGGTCACCGATCCGATCTGGCTGACGCATTTCCGCTGGAACTGCCGAGGCGTCAACAACTACCGCGACGGACGCATCTTCGTGGCCGGGGACGCAGCGCATATTCACTCTCCTGCCGGAGGGCAGGGTATGAACACCGGTATTCAAGACGCCATCAACCTTGGCTGGAAGATGAGCGCCGTCCTGCGCGGAGAGAAGGACGACTCGTTCCTGGACACGTACCAGGAGGAGAGACACCCGATCGGCAGCCGCCTGTTGCATAGCACCGACCGGATGTTCAACGCTGTCGCATCGCAGAACTTCATCTACACATACATCCGCAACAAGCTGATGCCCTGGATCGTGCCGTACATCTGGGGCGACAAGGCGCGCCGTCTCCGTGCGTTCACCTTCATCTCCCAGATGGGCATCAAGTACCGCAATAGCTCCATCGTCCACACCGCGACCGGTTTCGAGGGCCCAGTCAAGGGCGGCTGGAGAGCCCCGGATGGCGAGCTCCTAGATGAGAGGGGCGAGAAGGGCAAGTGGCTGCTCGAGTTGACCAGCAACAAGGAGCACACCATCATGCTCTTCTCTGGCATGCTTGGGGACGAGGAGGAGGTGAAGCAGGCGGAGGAGAAGATCCTCGCCGATAAGCGATACAAGGAGCGCGGGGTTGTCAAGGTGTTTGGCGGCCAGACGATCGGCACGGGAGTATTTAGAGACAGGGACGGCGTGCTTCACGGGCGCTACGGCTTCGAAAAGGGGGCGGGCCTGGTGGTCGTCAGACCGGACGGGTACGTGAGCTTCGCCGGACCTGCGGAGTCGGTGGAGGAGTTTCTGTCAATCTGAGAGGCGCCGGTTACGGCCCATTTGAAGACTTTGTTTCGGGGACAAGGAGTTCGGCGCGGGCTGCGGGTTCGGATAATTGCTCTCCTCTGCTCACAATCTTAGACGCTTTCCCTTTTGAATGAAACATGTCCATGTTCACAGTCAGCCGCCGGACTCCTCGACGTCCATCGTGTTGTTGTTGAATCCCTCATCCGAATCAAAGTGACGAGCTGCGGGCTGACGAGCTCAACAAAGGTCCGAGGCCCCGGGGACTCTCCGAGCCAACGACCGAGGCAGCAGCCATGTCCCCTACACGACAGAGCCGCACTGCAGCAAACCAATGACAACATCTGTGGTCCTCCTCCCTTTTCCAAAACGTCGTCCAAAACCGAACGACATCAGACTGACAGCAGCGTGGAGTCCCCGCATCAACTTCGAGATGCCCATTCGGACCGACCTGGTGGTTTTTCTGTCCCTTCCCCGTTTACCCACCGACAGACGCAGTTGTCTCCCCCCACGGGAACAATGCAAAGATGTGGGCGACCTACGTATCTGACAGCCTGACTAAGTGCTCCCCAACGCCACGCCAGAATGTGACAAAGGACAAAGAGCCAGTCGCCATCGCGGGGATTAAGCTTCGACGACAACGATGGCCCCGGCACCCGTTTCAGAGCCGCGGCGGGGCCAGCACGACGTCATCGCGCGCTAGTTCCGCCATTCACGACCAAGGAAGCCGGCACCAGAGTGGATTCCCACGACGGAATTGACGACGTTTGTCGCTGTGTTTTCTCGTCGCTGCTGACTCTTTTCCTTGTCGCCTTGCCTTGGTTTCCCGCTCGGGTCGCGGCGATCATCTCTGCGGGGAGCAGACCGAACACCACAACGCTCCAAGTGACAGCAACACCTCCATCCCCCCTGGCTCTCGACTGCCCCCTTCGGCCTCCCACCCCTGGACCCATCCAATCGCTGCCATCATCGCCCTCCACCCCCCCCTGAACCTGGCAACCTGCACCCCAGATCCAGCATGGCCAACACCATTCGGCCCGTCCTAATGAGCGCCAAAACCAGCGGGCAGGCCTGGAGCGAGGTAAGGTACCAGGCGCACGTACGCCGGCTACGTACCCCCATCACCGCCGCCGCACCATGACGATGACATCGTCTGTTATCCACACTTGTACCCCCATCATGGGCGAGAATGTGCGACAGATTGAGCGGCGTGTCCGGGGCTGACGCCGGCCGGTGCAAGTGCGGCTGCGGATACGGAATGGCTCCGAGCGGGTAGATAGATTGATGCGCGAAGATCTCTTGGCTATATAGATCTGTGTAACGCCGCCCTCCCTTCTCGTAATGGAGGCATCGGTCTGTTCAGGGCCTGCGATACTCGGCACCTTGCGATCACCATCGACTCACATCCCCGTTCCGAAAATCGTGTCGACTTACATCCTCTCCATCATACTTCTCGACACTCATACTCACCACCGAACCCATCAACCACCATGGGTTACTTCGGCCTCAAGGGCGGCTGGCTCACCTTCTGGGTGACGGTCGCCTGCGCAACAGACATGACACTCTTCGGGTACGCATTGAAACCCCCATCCCTCCTCCTCCTCCTCCCCGCCACTCACCCCCCAAACACCGTCCAATCACACCCAAGAATAAAGGCTAACATCCCACCCCCTCAAAAGCTACGACCAAGGCGTCTTCGGCGGCGTGATCGTGACCGATGACTTCCTGCAGACGATGGGCATTGTCGGCAACGACAAGCTCCAGAGCACGGTGACGGCCATCTACGACATTGGCTGCTTCCTCGGCGCCATCTCCACCATCTGGATCGGCGAGCGGCTCGGGCGCAAGAACACCGTGCTCGTCGGCACCACCATCATGTCCATCGGCGCCATCCTCCAGATCGCGGCCTTCAACTACGCCACCATGATGACTGGCCGCGTGATCGCGGGCATCGGAAACGGTATCAACACCTCGACGGCGCCCGTGTGGCAGGGCGAGACGAGTAAGGCCAGCTGGCGCGGGAAGTTGATTGTCATTGAGATGATTATGAACATCTTCGGTTTCTCTTTGAGTAAGTTGATGTGTGTTTGGTTTAGGTGTGATTGATACTGACAGAACAGGCAACTGGGTCACCTTTGGCTTCTCGTACCTCACCGGCTCTGTGACATGGAGGTTCCCCCTGGCCTTCCAATTCATCTTCATCTTCATCCTCTTCGGCACCGTCCCATGGCTTCCTGAATCTCCTCGGTAAGTTCACACTGACACATTAAGAATGACTTCAGACTGACAATCCCCAGCTGGCTGCTCGCAAAGGGTCGCGTTGCTGAGGCAGAGCAAATCCTTGCAGACCTGGAAGACCGCCCTGTCGACGACGCCTACATCCAGACACAGTCCAAGGACATCCAGTGGGCTGTCGAGTACGAGCGCGAGAACACCGTCCCCTGGTCCGATCTCCTCCGCGGTAAGACTGGCGAGACTGCCGGCACCGGAACGCTCCGT